TCATTGCTAGCCTATTGAGATGCAATTGATTTTTAAATAAATTGGTTTGCTAATCCCACATACCTGTTCGAGAAACCGTTTTAGCGATTCTTTTGGATTTTCTACTTAGACAGTCATGCTGTCTGTGAATAGACAGTTTTATTGGCCAGCTGTGTGTCTTTTATTTCTTTTTCTTCCCTTATTGCGCTATGTAGAATGACTGATTCCCACGTGGTAACAGGGAACACCTCTGTCTTGCTCCCGATTTTAGAAGAAAGCATTCAGTCTTTCACTAATAAATATAACGTGAGCTGGAGACGTTTTGTAGATCTGTTTTACCAGATTGAGGACATTTTCTATTAATTGAATGATTATGCATTTATATCAGATTTTATTCTGCATCTAGTAAAATAAGCATATGCTCTTTCTCCTAATGAGCCTATTACTACAGTTCACTACATTAATTTCTGAATACAGAATCAGCATAGAGAGCAAACTGGAGCCACTCGTGTCAAGCAGGCGCCCGTGTCAAGCAATGACCGAGCAGTGAAAGGTACTGCAGCTAGGCCACCTCGCCGGGACCAGTGTTAGCCGCCACCCCACAACTACCACCTGCCAGAGCCAGAGGACGTCCACAGGGATCCGAAACCGATTGAATCCCTTTAAAAAGCAAACTGTCAGACCTTCAGACCTGACCCCTCTACGTCTGCCCACTTCAAACAGGCAGCTGCTGCTCAAGTTTCTGCCCAGTTGATCTAGGAACAGAACCGAGATCCTTCCCCACTTGAACATAAGGGGTAAGTGTGAGAGTGAACCCGGACGGGACCGAGGCCTCCTCTCAACTGCACTGAACTTCCTGCACTTCTATGACCCCGTTTGTCGTGCGGCTTGTCTTCTGTCCTGCTGTGCGTCCTGTGTGAGAAACCAAGTTTAATCACCTGGGGAAATGTCATGGAGTTTGGGATCCCCTAACCTGCTTTATAGTTGGGATTTCACTTTGCTTTATGATCGAATAAAGCTGACATTGTGGAAAGATGCAACTCATGTGTGCACCTTCTGGGTGTGCCCATGACAACCAGCCTTCTGTTTCCAGGATAAACGCCGTGGTTTGCTATTTTTACATATTTCTGGCTCACTTTGCTAATATTTTGAGGGATATTCGTGCTTATGTTCATGAAGGATATTGGTCTGCGGTTTTATGTTCTTCTCATGCCGTTTGTTTGGATTTTTGAGTAACACTGGCTTCATGAAGTGAATTGGTAAGTGTCCTCTAAACTTCTTTATTAAAGAAGAAATTGTAAAAAAATTTTTATTTCTTGAGTGTTTAGTGGAATTCACCAGAAAGACTTTCTGGGTCTACGGGATCGAGTCCCATGTCAGGCTCCCTGCATGGAGCCTGCTTCTCCCTCTGTCTGTGTCTCTGCCTCTCTCTCTCTCTTTTCTGTGTCTCTCATGAATAATAATATTAAAAAAAAAAAAGACTTTTTGGGTCTGGAGTTTTCTTTGTTTGAAGGACCCTAACCACAAAATTACTTTAATAGGCATAGAACTAAGGGTTTAAGAACGAGTTTCCCCAATATATGTCACCTTGGCATGAGGATTATTTTGAGCTAAAGGTGATCAAAACCCAGCAGATTCAGGAAAAGCTCTTCACCTTTCTCTCAAATTTCCCTAAATTTACAAGGGAAAGGGGTCTTGCACCAGGAAGAAGCTATTACCAGAGACAACTGGTTTACCTAAGATGCTGACGTGGCTAACAGGGAAACCTTTGTTGTCCTCACACCTCCTCCGCCTTCTTGTGAACAGCCTTCCTCTCCACTGCCTCCCCGGGGCCCCCACCCTGTCCATCGCTCAGGATGTTATATCAGTTTCAACTGTCCAGCTGCCTTTTGAGTCTTCATATCTCTATTAAATTTGGCTTTCTCCTGTTAACCTGTCCTATGTCGTTGTAACTGTTTGACCAGCCACAGAAGCTAGAGGGTAGAACTGTTTCTGTAAACAGTACTCTTCTAGCAAACTATTTTAAGTAGGCTCCACACCCAGCACGGAGCCCAGTGTGGGACCCCAACCCATGACCCCGAGATGGAAACCCAAGCTGAGATCAAGAGTCGGATGCTCAGGTGACTGAGCCACCCAGGAGCCCCCAGTTACCTAGTTCTTAGGTGAGCTGGTAGTTTATTACCTTTCTTTATGAATCTTCTGAGACCTTATCAGTTGAATCCAGATGCCATCCCCACAACCATCCCCAAAATGGTAACACGGATCAGGGATTCAACACCTGCATCAGGGGCTAATTCATTCACCTATGTTCCTAAAGCAGCTGAGGCAGGAGAGAGGGCAGAAGGCATGAGGGCCTCGGGGAAGAGTGTAGGAAGCAAGGAACAAGAAGGAAGGTTTTTGCGTTAACTTTATTTCCAAACGCCTCCCATTCAGTTCAATAAACAAACTTTTTCCTTCCAAAATCTTGCATCCTCTTGTGGACATCAGTTAATTCAGCGCTGGAGACCTTTGACTCTGCCATCAAAACCGTTATCACCTTTGAGTTAGAGTCGTGGGCCTGCCCTTGGTAACGACACCATCCCTGACTTCCTTCATTCCGGAAAGAATATGTGACAACCAAGGTACCATTTGGAAGGCTGGTTTCAATCCTCTCTCTGCTGCTCAGCCTCTAAACCTCCCTGAACAGATAGGAGAGTGCCTCCCCCTTCTCACCTGCCGGCAGGACAAGGACCTTCATTACAGGACCCTGAGGGGTCTTCTAAGTCCTCTCGCGGACCTGAGAGTCCTCATTTGCTCTCTTCCAGCAGCCACATCTCAGTTAGCACCCTATCCCCATCCCCCAAACTGTCAAGAACTGTGCAGGACCCCCGATTTCACCCTCCCTGCAAACCACCAAGCTGGCCTGTTTCATGAATGCGGGTAGAAGGCACAAGGCTGCGGAGCCAGAGACAGAGGACACAGGTGTCCTGATGACAGCAGCAGCCAGAGCTTCATGGTCAAGTGCACTGACTCCTCATGACCTTCAGGTCCCACAGGGGACAACTGCAAATGCAGGGGGCCGCGCTGCCAGAGGGGGACCTGAGCTTGCTGCACTCGCTGCTCTGATGGGCAGCAGAAGCAGGGCAGTTCCTTGTCCAGAGACAGACACTGCTACTACCTCATCCCCCGGGTTAATGCCAGACAATACAACGTAGCGGCTGTCTTGCCAGGTCCTCGGTGCCATGGGGGATGGCCTGCCCAGCACAATTCTTTCTCTGAGTCTTAGTTACAGATTTTCAGGGTGGCTGGCCAGAATTAGGAGCATTAACTGGGCAGCCTGGTGGCTCAGTGGTTTAGCACCTGCCTTCAGCCCAGGGCATGATCCTGGAGTCCCGGGATCGAGTCCCACGTCAGGCTCCCTGCATGGAGCCTGCTTCTCCCTCTGCCTGTTTCTCTGCCTTTCTCTCTCTCTCTCTCTCTCTCTCTCTGTCTCTCTCTCTCTCAGACTCATATGAATAAATAAATAAAATCTTAAAAAAAAAAAAAAAAAAGGAGCATTAACTGTCCAAACAGCAACCCAAGTCAAGTGGGAAAGGCCTGGAGGGACTGCTGGGAAAACGCACAGCTCCCTTCTCTGCCACCAGGGGTCGCTCGACACTTGGGCAGGGACGAGCCTCCAGTCCCATGAGTCCCACTCGAAATTCCTTAGGATTTTCCAGACCGTCAAAGTCGCCAATTCTAGGTATTTACTTATTCCTCTAGAGCTGAGGGACACTGCTTTACTCTTCCCAGGAATTAGACAGTTGGTCAGGGGACTCACAGTCCTACTAACGCTCATCCTCTTAGTTTTCTAAGCGGACAGATACTCCCCCACTCACACACGGATGTTGATACGCCCGCCACTCCGTCTCCAGCCTCCCCTTTTTAAACTCACGAGCATTTACTTGTTTCATCATTTGAACCACCACCCACATACTAATGGCTCACGAATCTGTACAAAAGCCCTGGCCCTGCCTGGTCTTCACACACTCACTACCTGCATGTCTGCTGGGTGGTCCCGTTTGGAGGTCCTGTAAGTTTATGTTTCGTGCGTGTCCCTAGAATGAGGTCCCTTCCCTCTCCTGCAGCACCCCCACCCAACTATCCCCCTCCCGGCTCCTGTCCCATTTATGAACCATGTCCCACCAAGTGCAGACTTCCTGTTCCCAGTAAATGTCCGAAGACTTTTTTCCTTCACGAAAATGTTTAGGATCATTCAAATCCCTCAAATCAGTGTCATCTTCTCTTGCCTGAAAGATGTGCAATGCTGCCTATTAGTTACTCCCTCTAGCCCCGGCCCCTCAAATCCATTCTCGCACTCACCTATCCAATCTGTGATACCGTTCATGCACCACTCCTTCTCAACACTCTTGTAGAAGCCCATTCCAGCCCTAAGCATGTAACTCCTTTGGCACGTTAAAAATGGGTCCGTACCATCAGCCTCTAGTTTCGTCTCTTCTCATCTTTTCCTGGAAAATCATGACCTACAAAAAAGCCAAACTGCTTCTATTTTTGTGACTCTACTGCATTGCTCACACTTTTTCTTTTCCTGGAAATTTTTGGACTATTTTCATGATGAAAACTTTTTTTTTTTTTTTAACATTTCTACTCAGATAGCCTCTAATTAAGAAATCCTCTTCAATTTTCTAGACAGAGACAACTTTCCGTCATTCACTCAGACCATACTGTAACAGGTAACTCATACATTCACTATATATAGGTGTATATACATACACAAACATGTGAAATTAAATTATATGTCTACATGTTTGCCTTCCTAACAAGACTAAGCTCCTGGAAAACAGTGTGCTGTTTTATATTTGTGCACCTTACTTACAGCCCAGTGCTTAGCCCCAAAGTAGGTTTGAAACACTGTTTCTTGAACTATTCTGGGTTAAACAGCACAGGAGTGAGTGGGTTCTTGAGGTAAGATGTGACTATCACTCGTACTTCAGACAGTGTCCTCACCATCGAATCAGACATTGGTCTTAGCCAAAAGTAAGTAGAGATGATCCTCTTCTACTTTAATTGTTCATAATTACCTTTTGGTTCACAGATCATCTTAAACATATGGTGAGCGTAAAGAATGCTTTAACAAAGACATCTATCTCTGAATACACAGACCAGTTTCTATGAAATTCCAGGAAGTTCCCATAACCCTTGCCCTCCACCCTTTCTGATGCATATGCAGTTTCCACCTTGAGTTGTTCAGTAGGATTGGTATCAACATAATGGTCAGTATCCCATAATGGAAGATAGCATGAAAATCCATGAATGAGTCCTGAAAGAAGGCTTAATGTAGATTCGGAGGGTCCTCTTTCAACGTTTGGTGGAGTGAGCTGGTGGGGACACGGTGAGAGAAGAACTGTAGGGTGGCTTACCTTCAGTGTCTCCATCAGTGTTCATCAGTCACTGACGCTCCAGAATACTGTCATGAGATGCTTACGGTCCTCCACAGGTGTCCACCAATGGCTAGAGTGGTGTTGATTGCAGAAGACAATTAAACGGGGCAAAACCCCTAACCCTTTGAGGAAAAAATAGTGTTCTAATGAGGAGAGTTTGAGTCGTTCCATGACAACTCTGGGGCAAAGGGACAGAATCCAAAGGTGCAGATTTACGAGGGCAGGTCAGTCCCTCCACCTCTCTAGAACTTCTAGAGTATCCCTTCCTGCTTTTCTATTCCACTGATTATATCCCCATCAAGCACTCCCGCTTAGTGAATCTTTCCCAACACGCAGACATACTAGATATCCCACTAACAACCTGCAACAATAAAAATAACAGCAAAGTGATCTAGACTCCAAAACAAAATACCTTGACTAGAACTTTCCTCTAGCTTGCCCCCAGTATCTTTTCATTCACAACCAAACTTGTGTGAGGAATAACATGAAGTCTAAATTTCCACATTTTACTTTTGCCTTTCCATTCACCTCTAAATCTACAGCAATTTATCTTGTATTCATATAAGTAACACCGAAACCAATCATGGCAAAATCACCAAGCCTTTGGTTCACCTATTTTACCCTTTTTTATGTAATTTCTCAATTGGGTAGGTCTACGATGCCATTCCATTACACATGAAGAGAACTGTGGCTTTAAATTTCAGGAAACTCAAGTCCAGAAGAAGTCACTTATAAGAAAATGTATTAGCTCACATAAATTTGCCACGCCCCTTAATAAAGTGTCCTGGTATATATGGAGTCTCCACAGTCAATTAACCATCAGCTCATACAACAAGGGCACTGTTGCTCTCCATGTTCAATTTTAGCATGCTCAGATTCTATGCCCAGCAAGGTCTTGGGTGCGTGCGTGTGCATGTGTGCGGCAAGAACAAAACCACACACGCCAACGTCCCCCATCGCAGGGAGACCACTTCTCCCCATGCATCTTCCTCGGAGACCCCAATCATCTTTTCCAGACATCCTCAAGCAGCCCTATCCTAACACAGCTCACAAAGCCACCTATATAAACAACTCAAAATCATGGGCAGGAAGATCCCCATTTTCCTAGGGATTCTGATATAGGAGGATCCTACTAGGTCCTATAAACGCCTAAGTCTTACTGGGAAACAGAGCACGGAGGTGAGCCTGGCCTCATCAGAATTTTCCGGGTCCATGTAGAACAAGGATGGGCCAAATTCTGCCTGCAAGAGGGGAGATGTGGCTTGTGGGGCAGACCATCACTCGTGCCTGCGGGACACTTTTTACTAGATTTTCTGCTTGCCCTTCCAACGTCATGTTGGCAGAGCAGCTCAGTAGGATTGGTATCAACAGAATGGTCAGTATTAGTGCCCGCTCATTCCGCTTCTCCCTCACCCCTGCCGCGTGTCTCCCAACTGCACGCTCTGCACTTTGACATGTGTCTTCCCACCGCAGATAGACCACCTGCGTGTGCAGCCACACGCACGTCGGCAGAGGCAGCGGCGCCCGTCCACAGAGCTCCCCTCCTCCAACACCCTTGCACGGGAGGGGGGGGGCACCTGAGGGCTCAGTGGTTTAACACCACCTGCAGCCCAGGGCGTGACCCCGGGATCGAGTCCCACGTCGGGCCCCCCGCAGGGAGCCTGCTCCTCCCGCTGCCTGTGTCTCTGCCTCTCTGTGTCTCTCTGTGTCTCTACTGAATAAGTAAAATCTTTTAAGAAAGAAAAAACTAAAAAGGACACCCACTGACGCACACGCGTGCAATGACACGGATACAGACAGCCGCACTCCTTCCAAATCTTTTACTTCGTGTTGGGTTTTTGTTGTTGTTGTTGTTGTTTGTTTTGCTTCGTTCAGCATCTGCCGGACTGCTGCCCCCTTGGGCGCGGGGCGTGCGGGCCTCCTCGCGGTCGCACGAGACACACACACATACACACCCCCCCACGTGCGCACACACACGGGTCCAGCTCTCCGGGCGCTCCCCGGGCGCCGCTGCCCGCGCTCACTTGTACGTCTTCATGTGCCACAGCCCGTCGTTGAGGTAGTGGATGTTCTCGATGCCGATGCCCTTGTTGACCTTCTCGATGTCCTCCGCCGACATGCGCATGACCCCGACGCACAGCGCGTGCTGCTTGCCCTCCGCCATGATGGCCACGACCGTGTCGACGGCGGCGGGGTAGAGCTGCGCGCCGGGCGAGGTCAGGCCGGGGCACATGATGTTGGCCCCGCTGAGCACGAACTTGATGGCGCCCTTGTCCACCTGCTGGTGCGGCAGGATGAACGGGTACTTGTGCAGCAGCCGCAGCGTCGGGTAGAAGGGCCCCTCCCTCTGCCTGAAGAACAGGAGCTCGCCGTTCACCGTGAGGATCTCGATGTGCTCGTGGCAGCGCACGATCTTCACCGGGTCCTTCTTGGGCAGGATCTGGTTGAGCCACGGCTCGATGCCCGGGAACTGCTCTATCAGCTGGTTCTTAATGCCCTTGATGACCGACGTCTTCAACTGGATGCAGTTGGACACGTTTTCCTTCTCGTCGAATTTCTTGAACATGATCCAAGGCGGACGGGGGGGGCGCCCACGGCGGAGAGCCCGAGCTGCGAGGACCGGGAGGCGCTCACCGGGTGGACGGCCGGCGCGGACGGTCGCGGCGGTTGTCGCTAACCGGAAGGCGGCGCGCGCTTTACGGCTCCGCGTGACGTCTACTTCCGCTGCTCGGGGAGCGGCGCGGCGCTGCCGCCGGTTTCGCGGCTGCAGATTCGTCGCCCGCCGCCCCCGCTCCGGGAGGGCGGGTGAAAGGGACGGGATTGGAGGCAGAGGAGCGGGAGGAAGCGCGTCTGTGGCTAGAGGAGAGGCGCGGAAGGGGGCTGGTATTTTTACTGTTTGTTAGCGGCAAGCCGAATCGTCGTCCCTGCGGATAGGCACGCCGGGATCCAGGGCGCAGGTGCGGGGCGCAGGTGCAGGAGCAGGTGCGGCCGTGGAGCCGCGCAGGCGCCGCGCGGAGCTCGGTCGCGGTGGTTTCCCGGGTCCGCCCGCGGTCACTCTCTGCGTCTCCCCCCGCGCTCCGTGGCACCCGGGCGGGGGCTGTGTCACCGCACACATCTGCCTGCGGGGCTCTCCCCGCCTGAGCCCGGGACGGCGGGGGCGAGGGGCGGGGCTTCCCTGCACAGCAGCAGGTGCGGTAGGGACGAATTCTTCTGGCCTCTTCTCCTTTTCTTTTCTTTCTTTCTTTCTTCTTTTTTTTTTTAAGATTGTATTTACTTATTCATTAGAGACACAGAGAGAGGCAGAGACCCAGGCAGAGGGAGGAGCAGCTCCATGCAGGGAGCCCGACGCGGGACTCGATCCCAGGACCCCAGGGTCGCCCTGGGCTGAAGGCAGATGCTCAGCTGCTGAGCCCCCAAGTGCGCCCCCATGCACAGGTGTCCATGCACGGGTGTTGGAGGAGGGGAGCTCTGCACAGGCGCCGCCTCCTCTGCCACGTGCATGTGGCTGCACACACAGGTGGTGTATCTGCCGCGGGAAGACCCATCTCAAAGTGCAGAGCGTGCGGTTGGGAGACAGGCAGCAGGGGTGAGGGAGAAGGAGAGTGAGCTGGCAGGGGGCTGAGCGGCTCTGCTAACAGGACGTTGGAAGGGCAGGCCTGCGGGGAGCCCCGCGACCCCGGGGTCACGCCCTAGGGTGAAGGCAGGCGCTCAGCCCCTGAGTCCCCCAGGTGTCACCCAGGGGCCCCTCTGCTGCCCTTTTCAAGACATCCCAACTGAGCGTGCGGCCCAGGGTGCGGCTTCTCCCGAGGACCACCTGGAGTGTACCTGAGAAGGACACGCGCGCAGCTGTGCTCGGTGCAGAGCTCGGCTCGGCCGAAGGGCGTTCTGTTCTCTCTGCTTCATCTACGGAGCGGCGCATTGAAATCTCCAGCTGCGATGGAGGCTCTGTCTCCCTCTGCAGTTCTGTCAACCTGGGATTCACACATCGTGCGACTCCACCGTTAGGTCCACACCCACTTAAGATTAGTGTGGAAGTCGCCCAGCTCATTGGATTCGACCCGGGTAGACTTCACGTGTCATCCCCAGAGAAGTGTGAGGCCCCCGGGGGCGGGAGTTGTGTTTTACCTCTGTGTTCGTACCCCTAGCACTTCTCTCCAAGGAACACCTGCCTCATTTGGGAAGTCAGCCCTGCGGCAGGAATTGCAACACGGGCCGGATATACAGTGAAAAGATGACATGTATTTCCCCATCCTTGGGAGTTTACAGCACATCAGGGTGACACCTATATATACAGAGAGAGATCTGTCTTTATGTATTGTCGATCCCTATTCTCAGAACAAAAATCTGTATCAGTCAGGGTGCTCCAGAGAAACTATATATATAAAATACACATATATATCCACATATATATTATAAAATTGCATATATATATATAAGCTTGTGGAATTAGGCTATACATATAGATGGAAGTAATATATAAAATACATAAATAATCCTATATAAACAGCATATGTATCTATTGTAGGGAACTGGCTCTCACAATTATGGGGGACTGAGAAGTCCCAACATCAGCAGTCAACAACAACCTGGAGATGTAGCAGAGCTAATGCTGTAATTCAGTCTGAGTCTGAGTCTCAGGCCAGAGAAGACCAAGGACCCAGCTCAGAGACAATCAGGCAGGAGGAATCCCTTTTTACTCCGGGGAGAGTCCACCTTTTTGTTGTTTACAGACCTTGGATGAAGCCTGTCCACGTTAGGGAAGGTAATCTGCTTTACCAATTAAAATGTTAATTTTACCAAGAAATACCCTTACAGAAACACTCAGAACGACGTTTGGCCAAATGCACGGGCCCCCTGTAGACCCGTCAGGTTGACCCGTAAAATTAACCGTCACAAGGGTAGACCATCTTAAATGAGGTGGTAAAGCAGTGTGTTGATGTGTCCTGACCCTAGAACCCAGGATGAATCCTGCTGCATCATTTCCTAGAGTGAAATCCTGAAAGTTACTGAACTTGTGTGTGTCTCCGTGTACCCATTACAAAAGCATGGTTGACAAAAATGCCCATCTCCTGGGGATAGGGGTGAGCTATTGCTTGAATTAGAACTTACAATAATTGGGTTTTAAGTATTTGACATAGCTATAATTACTAAGTTAATATAAAAACAATTACACAATTGTTTTAATACTCTCTTCACACAGGACATAGTACAACTGGCCAGACTTGAGCTTTCCTGTTTATGGCCGAGTCTCTGCTATGCCTCCCTGAGATTTCACTACAACTACTTTGATCCCATGAAGAGTCACACGTTTCCAGTTAATAGACCAGCAGCTGATCTTGTGTATTATATATAAGTTTGTGTGCTTAACCCAATAGGACAATTATTTTTCTTTGGGTCTTATGGTTTGTCCTGTTATTCTTATTTGTGAAGTCAGTGCTATATGAGCAACAAAAACCAGATGTAGAAATTCCAGGGAGGAAAAGTCATTGCTGGAGGACTAGTAACTTAATCAGAAAGGATTTGACCTGAAATTGTCTAGCAGAGGACTGCCCAGAGGATTTTTTTTTTTTTTGAAATGAAGTTATTTTACAGAAGGGACTCTGAAAAAGTTTACTCTGAAGTCCCACAGCAATGAAAAACTTTTTTGAAGTTAATAACCACTTTTATCAGAAATCATACTCAATCTGTACACTGTTAACTCTTCCCAGGGACACACTTGACCTTGGCCAACTAGCCACTATTTGGCATCTACCATGAAAAGGATTCTAAGCACTAGTTTCCTCCTTAAAAAATTAAAGAAGTTAAAGTTAAAAAAAAAGACTCTATTTTAAGACTTTGTAAAATCTACCCTTCTGTAAAAATCACAGAACCTGGTTCTTAAATGTTATAGAGGAGTCTAGGTCTTTGAGGGTGACTCACACCAGCGAATGAAAAAATACAATATGCACATGTTGCTTTGAACAAAGGGGCATGCTAAACCATTGAAACACGTTACCAAGTTATTCTCATTAAATAATTCACAATCAATTCAAAATTAATCAACTATATGGATTTTGATAAGAAGGAGGAAAGTTCTGGCACAGACTCTGAAGCCAGATTGATTTTCAGGCCCAGGCTGTACTACCATCAGGCTCCCTCGGTACCACTTTACTGCCTTGAAATATGAAAACTACAGCGTATACCTCACAAGGTAGTTAACGAGGAATAAAAAAAAAATGCAGTATACAAAGGACTTATAGACACAGAATAAGTACATTTACAAGTGTATCTTTCTTTGCAAGACACCCTTTGTGTCCTAGGGTAATCTAAGGCCTAAGATTATGGTGTATATGTAAAAAAAAAAAAAAACTGCAGAAAATATTTGTAGCTTTGGATAAAGCTGCTAAGTCAAACAGGAGATGCCAGAGCTCGGTTCCGTAGCAGGAATCTGAAGGGAGTGTGTGATCGAGACACAGTGATAACGTGGCAAAATTAAAGTGAGGAACCTGAGTGAGAAAATGTCTCCGGTTCTCCAAACCTGCACGCTTGGGAGTGCAGTTCACACATCTGGGTTGTCCTGATAGTTGGAAGCCGCTCACCTGCCTGCAGCTGTGTCTGCATTTTGCGGAAGGGCCACCGGAGGGCGGGAGAGCCAAGCTGACGTCCGCCAGCGGGGCCTGAGGCTGGTGCCCATTAGGAGAGTTCTCCACTAACAGGTAACTGGCTTTTACCACACAATTATTCTTCCTAAATTAACAAAACCATCTCTACAAAGTCCCAAAGCATTTCCCAAGTTCAGGTGAAGCACACTCTGAATAGTCACCTTCTTGATTTCTAATTTGTGAATTTAATTATCTACAAATAATCAACAATAAAGCAATTCTTTCTAAAATGAAGTCTGTTAAAAAAGAAAACATGCTAGCCCTACACTACTGGCCTTTCCAAAGAAATACAAACTTTCAGGGCGCCTGGGGGGCTCAGTTGGTTAAGGGTCTGCCTTCAGCTCAGGTCATGATCTCAGGGTCCTGGGATCCAGCCCTGCCTTGGGGTTCCCTGCTCAGTGGGGAGTCTGCTTCTCCCTCTTCCTCTGTTCATATTCTCTCTCTCTTTTTCTCAAATAAATAAATTAGATCTTAAAAAAAAATAAATACAAGCTTTTTGTTATAAAATAAGTCACAGAGATGGCAAGTAGCATAGGGAGCATAATCATACTGTAATAATGTTTGGTGACAAATGGGGACCATTCTTCCCATGAGCACTGAGGACTGTACAGAATTGTTGAGTCGTGTTGTACACCTGAAGCTGATGTCACACTATGCGTATTATACTTCAACTTATAAAATACCTTTCTCCACGCTGCACCAATTTATGATCTGTTTTTAAAAATTAAAGTTAGGAAGGGCCGCCTTGATGGCTCAGTGGGTGAAGCGTCTGCCTTCAGCTCAGGTCATGATCTTGGGGTCCTGGGATGGAGCTCCCTGCTATGGGGGAGGGGCGGGGGTCTGCTGCTCCCCTCCCTCTGCGCCTCGCCCTGCTCGTGCCCTCTCTCCTGCACGCCCTCTCTCACAAATAAATAAAATCTTTGGAAAACAAAGTTAAATATACTGTAAAAATAATCACAAGACCTGGAATGGTTTTTTTTTTTCATTTTTTTAAAAGATTTTATTTATTCATGAGAGACACAGAGAGGCAGAGACACAGGCAGAGGGGGAAGCAGGCTCCCTGCAGGGACCCCAGTGGGATTCGATCCCGGGACTCCAGGATCACGCCCTGGGCCAAAGGCAGGTGCCAAACCGCTGAGCCCCCCAGGGATCCCTGGAATGTTTTTAATTCCATCTTCCCTCTCATTGCTCCATTCCGCAGGCGACACTGCCGAGTCCCTCACGGGCTCCAGCAGATGTGCTCTCCACTGCAGGCATGCAGGTGGATAGATGGGTGCTCACATGGGGCTGTGCACAGGTGGGGGGCCCCCAGAATCTCAGGGGCTCTCGTTTCCAAAGCAAAGCCCACAGGAGGTTTGAGTCCCAGCCCAAGTGTCCAGAACCCTTCCTGCGTAGATGGACTCTGACCACCGGATGTGCTCGGGCCAGTGCCCGCCTGTCCCAGCCTCAGGTTCCAATGGTCTCAGGAGGACTGGCCACAGAGCTGTGTGACCCCCTCCCCCTCGGCGGTGTGGATGTGATCTGGGCTCCCAGCTCCTGGGTGGGTTTGGTGGGGGGCACTGGGGTGCGCAGGGCCTCCTGCCCACCTGCAAACCAGAGCGGACCCCTGGGGTGGCCGAGGTCCGTGCCCGCGGGCAGCAGGTGCATGAGACCCATGTGGCCTTGCACACGGTCAATCAGGGTCACGGTCACAGGGTCCTGGGTTGGAGCTCAGCGGGGAGTCTGCTTCTCTCTCCCTCACCCCCTGCTTGTGGTCTCTTTCTCACTCTCACTCTCAAATAAATACATTCTTTACAGATAATAATAATGATAAATAAATAAATACAAGGCTCATGGTCCAGAACAAAGAACTCTTACAGGTCAACAACAAAACAATCCAATTCAAAACGAGTGAAGGACTTGAATACCCATTTTGCCACAGAAGATATAAGATATAAGGTTGTGAAAACAGGACCAGCCACATTAGAGGTTAGGGAAATGGAAACTTTTTTTTAAGATTTTATTTATTTATTCATGAGACACAGAGAAGGAGAGAGAGCGAGAGAGAGAGAGAGGCAGAGACACAGGCAGAGGGAGAAGCAGGCTCCGTGCAGGGAGCCCGACGTGGGACTCGATCCCGGGACTCCAGGGTCACACCCTGGGATGAAGGCAGCGGTAAACCCCTGGGCCACCCGGGCTGCCCTAATATTTCTATTTTTAAAATTTGTTTTGGTGTTTCTGCAATCCAGCCTTGGGCCTTCACCATTCTCATGGGTCCCATTACCATCCGCAACCCGTCAGCACAAGGGGAGGAGCACAGAGAACTGTCTTTGGGAGGATTCCATGGCCCTGGTCTGGACGTGCACACATGAGTTTGAGACCATGTCCATTGGCAAGAATCGGTTGCATGGCTGTGGCCGCTGCAAGAGAATCCGGGAAATGCAGCCAGTGAGTTCAAGAAGGGAAGAGTGGATGTTGATGGACAAGCAGAGCTCTGGACAACAGGGAGTGACTCATTTGGATTTACTGTGAGTGCCCACTGTGTGCCAAGCTCTGCGCTAAGAGCTGGAGGGGAGGGCAGGGAGCTGAATAACCAGCAGCTCATGGTCTAAAGGCTGAAATAAGACCAGGAAAGAGGTGCCTGCCATCCTAAGAGAAAAAGATCAGGTGAAAGAGTTCTAGAAGTTTCTAGGTTGGGAAGCTGCCTGGAGTTGAGAGCAATTGAGCTCTGCTCTCAGAGATAAGATTTGGGCAGCGGAGAAAGATGGCAGGATGACAGCCTGAGACGGGGACAGGAGGCAGTGTCTTCTCCAGTCTGGCGGTGGGAGCTGGGCTGGAATCATGGCAAGCCATCTCGCCCTCCAGGGGAGTTCTATAACCCCGATTCCACTCAGGGCCCAGGACCTCCGCAGTCCTGAGGATGTTCTTCTCTTCTCAGATAACCTATGTCGTTTTATCCCCTGTCCCAGTTGGCGGGGGGCGGGGGCGGGGGGGAGGGCAGGGCCCACGTGATCCTGTATTTTAAATATCGGAGAAAATGAAATACCATAACTTGGTTCTTTAAGATGATATAGAAAATTCACTTTGCACTTTCAAATTTTGCTTGAAGGCCGTTTGCATCTTATAATGTAATACGCTTCCTTTGAAGATGACATTTTAATGAAAAGGACGTGACAGGTCTGCAGAGGGAGGAGAGAGGGCCTTCCCATTCCCCAGGAGGAAGGACCTGGGCCGGGTGTCGGGAGCATCCTGAGACGAGGCAGGTCTCTGCTCCTGCGACACGGGGCTATGAGGCAAGTGGTTTCCGGTGATTCCGGCCTTAGAGTCCTAAGTGTGCCCTCAGCCCTGAAACGGGTGATGCAAATTGCTTTCCTGGGGTTTTTTTGTTTTTGTGTTTGTTTTAAGAATCATGAGTTAGCAGAATTTAAGAATCCGAGGGAACCTACTCCAAGATGAACAATTTGGGTGCAAATTTTTGTGCGTGTGTCACGGCCCGTCCCTCCTTATAGGATCACCAGTGGCGAGCCCTGCTCCTTCCCTACGTGCAGAGTTCATTTCCCTCCAACACTTTAATTCACCTTTAGTGCCGAGATGGCGTTCAGTCCGATGAGCCCCAGACACAGCCACCTGTGGAGCCCACTGTCGGCTTCATTCCCACGGACATCTGGTCAACCCAGGTCTTAGGCCGAGCACCTCCATTTCCAGCCTGTTGGGGTGCGCTGAGTCCAAGTGCACTGTAGTCAATTTACCACCGACCACACTCGTGTAGTCTCCCCTTTTTCATGTGCTTCTCACAAGTGTAGCAGCTTTGAGAAGCAAATTATGAACTATTCCTCCG